CAGTCTTTCAATAAAAAAAAAATCAGCAAAAGTAACTGTTCTTTGATGAGAAATTAGCTCTAAGTACTGTTATCAGAATATATTCTGTTTATCCTTCCTGGTGCTTTTCTGAATCACACTCAAAATTATTGTCAATATTATTGTCTGGCGACATTGAAACCAACCCTGGTCCGAATGGTGTTCCTATTCATAGTTTAGATATTTTTCACCTTAACATTAGGAGTATTAGAAACAAAAGAGAAAGCTTAACCTCTTATCCTTTGCTTTACAGAAACACACTTGGACGCAAGTATAAGTAATTGCGAAATTTCAGTTGAGGGATTTAATACAATATTTCGAAAAGATAGGAATTCGCGCGGAGGAGGAGTTCTTGTTTATATATCTGAATCTCTTCGAGCCATAAGACGCGATGACCTTGAACCCACTTTAATAGAATGTATCTGGTTAGAAGTGTGTGTACCTACCTGTAATTTTTTTTCTCTGCTGTGTATACCGTCCACCAAATAGCAACAAATCCTTTTGGAATAATCTTATGTGGTCTATAGAAAAAGCTTCTGATATTTCCAGTAAAATAATTTTAGCTGGAGACCTTAATGTAGATTTCTTTAACATTCCTCGAACACACATCATGAATGAAATTCTGTTAAAATACAATCTCACAAACACTATCCATGAAGCCACTCGTATCACGAGCTCATCGAACACACTTATTGACCCAATTCTAGTCAATCCAGATATTTCAGTTCTTCACTCAGGCGTGTTATACACAGACAGTGCAATAAGCGATCACAAAGGGACATATATTTTTCTTAAATCAAGCGTTAATCTAGACCAATCTTATGAACGTAAAGTGTGGGTATATAAAAATGCGGACATAGACAAACTAAATTTACTCATTGAAAATACCGACTGGGCAAACCTCATTTGTAATGCACAAAATGTTAATCAGGCAACTGAAAACTTTTCTTTGGCATTCATGAATATAGTTAGACAATGTATACCTGAAAAATCTGTTATTATACGGCCGAAAGATAAACCATGGTTTGATTCCGTATTGCGCAAAACTCTTCGTATAAAAATAGACTTAAACGAAAAGCCCAAAAATGCAAAAAAGACTCTGATTGAACAAATTTTACAAGTGAGAAATAAGTTTAACAATATGAAAAAACATGCAATTGAAAATTACAAGAATAATCTAGAATTACATCTTACTGACGCTAGCAAAAACAACTCGAAACTATACTGGAAATTATTGAAGAATGTTTTTAAAACCAAAGTTGCTACATGTATTATATTTATCGAATACCTGTTCCACAGGTATTCGAATGAACCATTTGAGCGTTGTTTTTACTTTCTAAAGAAATAGGCGTGTCATTATTTGACAATCAACGTTTTAAAGAAAGCTCAAAACGTTCCATTCAAACGGAGAATTTCACCACACTCCAATGCGCTTCACTGTATGATCGATATCAAATGGATTAAAAAAAATGTTTATATGAAAAAATACAAAGAGTAGAAACTATGAAAGATGCCACTGGCGTTTGTTATTTGTTGCTCCGTTGTTAACTAGAAAATGCATATAAAAATGTACTCTGTGCCACGTTCAGAACACTAGCGCTTTAAGGTTAAGGAAAACGAGCAGCATCCTTTATGCATTTAAACAGTTAAATGGACAACAAAGGTTTTTTTTTTCATATTACAATACCCATGATCGTCTGTTTGGTCAGGGAACCCACTGATAATTGTATTCACCGATAGTACAACAAAGGAATGCAGAAAATCGCCTTAGTTACAGTCTGACTCTGAGAAACCTAGAGCTCCACGTTTTTTAAACGTGTTACAAATGAATTGTTTGTAATTGTGAGCATGGAAATAATAGAATAAAAATAGACAGCACGAAAAAGCATGCAAATGCATGAAAAATAATGTCCTATGTGCCTTTTCGATCGCCTTGATTTTTTTTCAAGCGTAAAATTCCTGTAGTATCCGTAGTAACCCACAATGGAATTCAACTCATTCAGATAAGCTATATTGGTACCCCATTTGCTACATGTACTCTGACGCCAAAAAATATAGTCCCATTTCACATGTAAGCATGCTTGTTCAAAAAGAAATTTTAATACATAAGTACAGAAAATATTGCAATGAAGAATACTTATTGACGTTTGAATGAATTCAAGAGAGATTGAAATACATTTTTACATATATTATTCAGTGGTGAAAAATGAAACTCAAGAAAACTTTTCTGTTTACCATGTCCCCACGTGCTAGTCACTTCCTAGCCACATTTCCGTGAATAATTTACCTTATCTCGTTGTAGTCTCCCTAGATCTCGCCAGAGCTACTGTGAGAGATACTGGGAACTCCTCGGATTTTATAATTTGCAGAACACCGAAAAATAAAGTGTTCTGAACACATTAGTAGGGGTGAAGATATTCAGATCGCAAGATAAACCACGTGCTGATACCCTGGATCTGTCACGCGATGATGCCGATGATTTCTGCATAGTATTCTATGTTTCACGGAGCAGTGCAAAATGTAGAAAAATTATCCTTGTGTCATTGCAGCTGTAGCATATTCAAAGCAATATTTATATATGTTGAACAACTTTTCAACTTTTATTCATCATGCCCTTTTACCACTTAATTATTATCCGGAAAATCATAACGATTTGCGTTCATATCGTACACACTCCCAAGTTGGGGAGTACCTGTTGTAAACTCATTTTGAATAATCATTAATTAGTAATTATCGAAGAGAAATTAATATGAAATTAAAATATAATATCAACAATTAAGACTTATTTTAAATCAATTTTTCCAAATATTTTATTCATGATTTTATCATTAAGAATTATTTTACTGAACTAATAAGGAAATGACGTCTCATTTCTTCATGTTCACTTTCTAACACAACCACAAATAGATCGGTCGCTGCTGCGGCCGATAATGACAGATTAAATAGCTCAGCAATTTCATTATGATAATATCCCTTTATATATTACAAGGCATTTACCTTACCTCTTTGAATTTCAGTAAGGCGCTGCATCTTTCAAGGTCAATATCTGTAGAAATTTTCAACGGACATTTTACATAAAAATCAATAAAGTTTGCAAAACTAGTCCAATTTATCCAAAAATTCCAGTCACATGGCTTTTAACCCGAAGCTCTTCGGCAAACTACTCGTGGTCATTTAGAGTCATGGTTGAGTGATTTCTTATCGCTTCATGATTTCTGAACTTTATTTGAAGCCAAAATAAATTCAGAACTTTATTAACCACGATGTAATGATATTGTTGCAGATCTATACTTATAAATTAATAAATTTTGCAAATAAACTCCGAAACGGGTGCTCCAGAGTTCTTACTTACTCCTCTAACAATACACTAGATACAAGATGATGTCCGTAAACTATATTTAGATTTCACTCGCATAGTAAGAATCGTACATTAAATTAAAAGTCTACTTTTATTTTCTATAAACAGCCATGAAATAGCAAAAACTTGAGTACGGTGGTGTTTCCGGTTGGCGGATCTAAGTTACTGGCAATTTTTAATGAAACTGACAACAAGCAATCGTTATTTATTTCATAAAACGTCATCACTGAATTATTCAATCAAAACTTGATTTAAATTATATAAAAGAAATAAGTTGTGATAACCAATTAAAAAGGAAAATATGCAAATTATTTTCGTCATTAACCGATCTTAATATTGACGGAAGCTTCTAGAACATCATATAGCATCGAGCCCGATGTTAAAAAAAACAGAGGCGCTTATAGCTGCATAACATAAAAAAAAAACTTTTCTGTGATTGGTCATTGAAATCATGGTAAATCATTGTTAACACTATAAGTTATGAATATATTTATATATCGAAAGACCATTACATATATATACATGTATGTAGTAGGTTTTCCTAATAAATTTATCGGTAAAATTTGTATATATTCCTTACTTAGAGCGTCGTGGCAACGAACCCGAAGTACAATTTGTACTTCGTAATAAACTTGCTTACATGTAAAGAGAAAATTAATGAATAAGGTATTGTTCAAAAACAATTAAAGATGTAAAATTTTGTGCTTTAATCAATACATTTCATTTTTTTTTTTTTTTTTTTTTTTGGAAAACAGTCTTTTGTATCAAATACTCGGTCTATTTATAGGGCATTAAAAGCTAATTTTACACAGGTACTTGAGTCTTGGTTTATAAACATGTACGTACCTTATTGATATGTAAAAAAGTATAGTATATTATTTACATATCAGTAAGGTACAAACATATTTATAAACCAAGACCCAAGTACCTCTGAATTTTGACCCCCCTCCCCCCCCCAATCAATTTATCAGTAAAATGTGCAGATTCAGTGCATTTATCCTTGACGGAAATGAAATAAGAGCATCTGAAGTACAATATCCATAACATAGTATAACAGGTTTCACAATAAACGTCAAGTTTTTACAAAGGGGGTGGGGGGTGGAGACGTACATTTACTTCTAGCGAGATTTTGAACAAAGTATTAAGCCTGTGGGCTGTCAGTAGAAACTACAAAATATTTTCTGTCGGTAGTAGTATAGATTCAATTCCTTGCGCTTGCGCGTCATTTCATCTAGTATATTTAAAATATATGCGTTCCTTTTTCATTCTGCATTTTAAGTGGCCCGTCTTTCTTTTTTTTCAATTTGATATCATTGTAATCACTTACTGAATATCAAACGATTTCTACAAAGAACATCCTCTGACAGAACATAACAGAAAAAAATGTACAATATACGAACAGTTATTGCACGTTGTGAAAAAGAAACAAAGTTGATCCATAGATATGCTAGTACCGGTATTGCTTTAATCATTTGATTACGTATTAGTCACCTACACTGTAACATTACAGTTCATATGGGCATTGTAATTTACGGTAAAAGTCAATGTTTTGATGGAGTAACGCTTCATTCCAACCCTATACCATTTAACCTTCATCTAACATTATCGTTTTGTTCTTCCCAAGCAATATGTTGGTACGGTAAAGAGAACAAGTTCAGACAACAAAATCATTCTCCTGGTAAACAGACCAGACAAAGGAATAGTGAAACAGGGAAATTCGCTGGATATTCAGATCGGTGGACGTTACACCGGAAGTACACAACCGACAGCGACAGCCGACATTGTAGATCTATCGTTCGATTCACAAGTTGTTCCAACTGTTGTAGATGGTATATGTTCCTTCAGTTCTGTTACAATGATGAAACATATGCAGGCATCAATATGAAAAAGAATACTGAAATCAGGTCTCTTCAAGTTCAAATATTTTTTGTATCTCCTAAACAACGTTTGCAATGGACTTTTTTCCCTTACAACCACAAATTATGATGTATAATATTCTTATAGCTGATGCAACAAAATACAATTATGATGAGGTTCTTATGAAGTCTATTATGTTCTACGAGGCCCAAAGATCGGGTAAACTTCCGGCAAATAACCGAATTCCATGGCGTGGTGACTCCGCCCTCCATGATCAGGGGGACAACGGGGAGGATCTAACAGGAGGGTGGTATGATGGTAAAATGCTTTTGTTGATCTCCTTCCATTTTGTGAATTTTTGTTTTGTTATATTCCCTGCATTTAAGTACTTTGGGGGGAAACCGTGCATCATAAGTTGACCACAAACATTACAATACATTCATTCTAAAAATATTTTCTTTCAAATAAAATTTAGGTGCTTATGGTTATTGTATAAATTGATCATATTCTAGCTGGTGACCACGTCAAATTTGGATTTCCAATGGCTGCTTCAACAACTCTCCTAGCTTGGGGTTTACTGGAATACAAGGATGCTTATGAGAAAAGTGGACAGTTGGAATACATGTATGACTGCATCAGGTGGCCACTGGAGTGGATGCTCAAATGTCATACAGGACCGAATGAATTATATGTTCAGGTAGACATGAATAAGCTTCATTTATAGACAGATGATCAGTGAATAAAAATTATAATACTATAACTTTGGTGTGGTTTGATATTGTTCAAGGTAGGGGATGGAGGGCAGGATCACGGTTTTTGGGGCAGACCGGAAGACATGACCATGTCAAGACCAGCATTTAAAATCACGGCCAGCAGACCCGGAAGTGACATCGCTGCAGAATACGCAGCCGCGTTTGCTGTGTCTTACCTGGTCTTCAAAGAAAAGGGTATGACTCAGAACACAAAATTTTCTATTTTAATCCCGTTAAACCAATTAATATGTCTAGTTTTAACTTCTGTTAATAGACCCAGCATTTGCTACTAAGATGCTGACTCATGCTAAACAGTTATATGACTTTGCGGTTCACCACAAAGCCAGATACAGCGACAGCGTAAACCAAGCAGCCGCTTATTATAGGTAATATCAACCTACTCATACAGTTTACATGTAATTGAATTAAAATTCTTAATTTAGTAACTGCAGCTGTTATTTTACGAGATTAAAAAAAGGATTTGAGTACTGTTCGAATGGTTTGCTTTAGATCAGATAAATATGAAGATGAGTTAACTTGGGGTGCTGCCTGGTTGTATAGAGTTACAAATGACACTAAGTACCTTAACTGGGCAGAACAGTTTTATATCACAGGACCGGATTGGGGACAGTCCTGGGACGACAAATACTCCGGAAATATGGTAAACACTAGTCTAATATAGTCAGCCCTCAATCTCTTGGACGTTAAATAGTTACAATTAGATTAAATAAGTGAATATGTGAACGAATATTGACACAATTTTTATTTCAGAGTTACTTTTTATTTGTCTATTTCAATAGTAAATGATTGTACTAAAGAAATGTTTTGACCTGTACATGATTCTGTTGTAAGTACCTTGTTTTGATATCATTTATATAGTTGTCATACATTTCGTTGAATTAAATTGAATTAATTTATATAAACATTATTTTTAGATCCTTCTCTATAATATGACTGGAAAAGACATTTACAAGAATGATATAGAGGCAACATTTAACGATTGGATGCCGGGCGGAAGTATTCCGTACAGTCCTAAGGGAATGGCCTTCCGGTCCCAATGGGGCGCACTCAGATACACTTGTATGTTTAAATTTTTTTCAGTTATCGTTTCTGGAATGAATAAGTCAATATTAAGATTTAATTTATGGAAGATATTGAAACTTAGATTTAGAATATTTTTTGGGGATTATAACATTATCGCAATATTTGGTGGGGGTGATCATTTTTATGTTTCCGTCAAAATATTTTCTACTTAAGTAGTACGTTTTCACAATTTATCTGTAGTTCCTGACAGCACCAGCAACAGTACGCAAAAGTGACGAAGATGTAAAGAATACGCAATAATGTAAAAAAAAAAGTTTAAAAAAAAAACAGAAGCTAGGATTGAATTTTGAAGGAATGTCGGGTACAGAATTGTTGCCCGAACAGTGCTGCAGAGTGCTACTTTATCAATACGCAATTTTTAAAAAGTATTTTACATTCATGTATGTTGCACTTTGTCATTTTAATGATAAATTTAATTCGATATAAGAGCATTTTTTTTTACTGAGCCAGGTAACATATTTGTGGGATCGTAATACATTTTTTGGCGAAATCATTAAAAAGGGTAATCTTAAGGTTACATCAATTTACGGAAACATGGCATACCTTTTAATAGCAAACATGGCTTTCATGGCCCTGTTGGCTGCGGATGTTGGAATTCACCCCGATGAATACCGTCATTGGGCGAGGACACAGATAGGGTATGCCCTCGGGGACAGTGGTCGGAGTTTTGTTGTTGGGTTTGGAACTAACCCTCCTAAAAGACCACATCATAGGTCTAGGTGAGTAGCATTCAACAAATTATTACTAGTCACAATAGATCCTAAGGTTTATAGTTTACTTTCATTCACTTCAGAAAAATACAAATGGATTTTTCCTTATTTTTAGCGAAAGTTAGGGTGATTTGGAAAATTGCAATTAAAGCTTTAGAATTGATGGCCAAAGAGAAAATCAAATTTAGGTTAACAATATGCAATTTAGTGGCCCAATTGGCTAAGATTTCAAGAATCGAAACAATGCATGATCGTGAGCAGTATATAATGTAGAAGAATAGCTAGACATCAATAGATTTAAAAACAAGTTTCATGCATATACAAAAGAATTAGCTGTACCTATTCTGTGGTTAATGGATATTCATAATTATCAAGTTCTGTAATGCATAATTACATGTATATCATGTTCTGAATTTTGTATTTACACCAACCCAGGTACAGTCACAATTAGAACGAGACACATTTCCTGCGTGCAAATCGAAAGTAATCAGTTTTTGTGAACGATTTATATTTAAACCACTAGTATATTCATGAATCATATTTTCAACTTATTAAAAGAATTAGAATTATGGACAATAACGAAACTGTCCCTTTGTGCTACGATAAAAAAAATAGCTAATTTTAAGAAGACTAGAATATGTCAATTTACCCCCCCCCCCCCCCAAAAAAAAAAAAACTTTTCAATGCCACCATATTGATAGGGAGACCAATTTCTGTATCTTTGCGACACCAGTTTCTAGAGAGCGCCAAATTTTGTTCTTCAATTGTGTGTAAAATAAAAGTTCACGCATAGGTTACAGTGTTATTTGCTGTTAATTCCTTTTCAGTTCCTGTCCGAGTCGTCCATCTCCATGTTCTTTCGCTGACCAACAGCAGCCTGGTCCTAATCCCCACACTTTATATGGGGCCCTGGTGGGCGGGCCTAACGGTAACGACCAGTATACAGACGACAGAAAAGATTACGTTAGTAATGAAGTGGCGTGTGATTACAATGCAGGTTTCCAGAGCGCTGTAGCAGGTACAGACTTTTTTCTTTTTATCAGTATTTGTGGTGTTTGAATGATGGAAATATACATGTAGGAGTATACATCGCATTAAGGTGTATTTTTAAAAAAGAGATTTACAATTAATTTTCATTTTATTTTGAAACACTATGATACATCAGTCATATTTTGTTATTTTATTTTTCAGGACTGAAGCACCTTAAGCTATAGATTTTTAATATGTATAAATGCACATTAGACAATAAATGAGCTTGTGATAAGAATTATAACATCTGACTATAAGTGCCTGTGCAGTTATTAAGAGCTTTGATATAAACGTAAAAGATTATTTTTGTAAACATTTACGGTTCTATAAGTCACGATAACACACTCACTTATATGAGGCACTGTTTTGGTATTTATTGCCATTTAGTGATATCATATATTCGAATAGGTGATATCACCTATTTGAATAGTTTCTCTGGACTTTTGGAACTTAATTTGAGCCACAACCTCTACTAGCTCGGCATTGCAATGATCAAATAAACAGTTACTGTAGATTTGGTGTAAGATAATTTTTTTGGCACAGAAGGGGGGGGGGGGGGCATTGTTTGTAAGTACACAAAAAAGTTCCATAGAACAACCCAATTTGTACGGAAGCCGGAAGGTGCCAGGTAGAAAATATTTAATCTGGCATATAAAAATTTGCATATAAAAAAAACTAGATTTACATTGACCTAAGCAAATTCGGACTGCCCTTTTCCCCTGTGTTATAGTCTGAGACATTTAAAACACCATATATTATTGATCCCTGTGAAATTATATAAATTTTACTTGCAGTCAGTTTTGCTATATTTATCGAAACTTTCATGTACAAAGAGAATGAAATGTTACTTCCTGTATAGAGTTTTTCAATACATTTGTAGTCTTGGGAGCAGTTGTTATTTCATACATAATTGGATTAGGTGATATCACATAATGGCAGTAAATATCAAAACGGCTCAATGTCTGAAGACGTTAAGGAAAAAAGTGCGGAGAACCAAATGGGAAATCTGGTTCCTCTTAAAAATTTAAAAAACCCATAATTCCGTTGAAACCGTCGAAGCAGAACGAAATGCAAACTTAATCTGTAACTCATCAAGGTACAGCCACATACCAAAAATCAGCTCAATATCTGCAAGCGTTAGAAAAAAGTGCGGAAAAAAAAGTGGGGCAGACAGAGTGACAGACAGACAGACGAGTAGGAAACCTATAGCCCCCTCTGGTTTCACCGGTAGGGGACTAACAAGCATTCTAAGATAATTGCATAAGCAACACTAGTCCCCTACGGGCAAGTGTAATCTGGTTCCCTTTATTAAAAAGGCCAGTAATTTCATCAAGAACGAAATGAAAATTTGTTTTATAACTCATTAAGGTAGACTTGCGTATCAAAAATCAGCTCAATATCTGCAAGCGTTTAGGAAAAGAGTGCGGAATACCAAGTGGGACAGACTGACAGACAGACGGATGGACATGCAGATAGACCGACAGACGAGGAGGAAACCTATAGTGCCCTAAAGTTTCACCGGTAGGGGACTAATAATCTCGCTCAAAAAAAAAAATGCCGTCCCCCCCCCCCCCATTCAGGATTCGAATTTGGTATTGGTATTTACACTATTTGATAACAGAATACCGAGTTCATAGTTATGATGATTGTTGTCGGACATGACGACATAAAGATCTCACATGTTGACTTAAATATCATGATCTCACAAGTCGAAATGAACATAAAATAGAAGATATGCCGCCAAAGAGCATATAATGTCGAAGTATCAGCATATAATGTTAAAGTATCAGCATATAATGTCAAAGTATCAGCATATAATGTTGAAATATCAGCATATAATGTCAAAGTATCAGCATATAATGATAAAGTATCAGCATATAATGTCGAAGTATCAGCATATAAGGACAAAGTATCGGCATATAATGTTGAACTATCAGAATATAATGACAAAGTATCAGCATATAATGAAAGTTCTCCACATAAGGCAGCTGTATCCTCGCAAGCCAGGGGTCCTGAGTCAACACGTTGCCTTTGGACCCCTGCCCTGGCATATTTCATTCAATATCCGTGGGCTTGCTTCTCTCATTATCGTCTGTCCCACGACCGGAACGTCACTACTTTTTGCAAGATATTTCAAAATATATAAATACCTTGGCTTTCAATCTAGGTTCGATCGATAGATTGATTTTTTTTCCAAACTTCCTGCATTTATACGAACCCTCGAGGTCAACCAGTGTATTGACACGGCGGCAAATTCAAAGTCTACGGGGATTTAACATTGTCAAAATGGCAGCCACTTCGGAAGGGGATCCATCATTATTCGTAATTTTCCGTACATTGCCGTCAGTGAGGTAATGACGTCACGCAAGTTCGGGAATGCTCTGTGCTTATCGACGTCCAAAAAGCTATAAAGCCCGAAGTATATATTTAGGCCTGTATGTAGGAGAAATTACGTCTTCGACAAAACTTTCGGCCAGACAGAAGAGATCAGAGATTTTTAAAAACAGCTAGCCTATACACTGCAGAAAGAAAAGAGGTATGATTCAATTCATATATCCTAAGATTGTAATTATCATGTTAAAAACAATCGAGGCAACTGCAAATTTAGCTCGTGACATGACTGCTTTTATTGCCAAAACGTAGAGATCTAACTTCTAATAAGCGTAGTCATATTATTAAGATTATTAAAATTAATTGCTGCTTTACCTTACTCCTTGGCCTTCCACATAAATCCAACTCCCTATAGTTTGTTATAAACATGGTCAAAAGAGGCATCGTATCACTTCTATGTGAACAATTGATGTCCGTAACCCAACAGTATATCCTGTTTTTCTTAGACTTTCAACACTTTAAACACATAAATCCACAATCAATATTATGTTTTGAATCTCGGTGCAAAACAACTTTTGTTGTCTGCATCAAACTACGTCACCAATGGAATTTGACCTTGCCCTTCGAAAACTTCCTGTAATATCGGCATTAGGTAAATCCAGGCCCTTGGATATATTTTTAGTGTTTCCACAAATATAACAGAATGCCAAAAATTAAATACTCAATCCTACACACAAAAACTACATAACACAAATGTAAAAGATTATACTACTTTTTATTTTAATTTTTACCTTTTCTATTTTTATCATCTTTTTTTTTTCTTTTGGTAGAAAGTTAAATAGTTTTACATAAAAAAAAAAGATTATACATGTATATATATTGACACATTCTATACAAGTCAGAGCCAGCTGCTAGTTTGATTCTCATATAATAAAAAAAAATTTATTCATAAAAGCAATAGATAAAATTTTTGAAACAAGAATTTAATTGCAGGCTGCAGGATCATGAAACAGACTTTGATTTAAGTCATATTTTCAATTGCCTGTAAAATGTTTATCATTTATTGAGTTAATCTCTAATTTTGCAAATAACAACTCTTTTGTAAAGCAATATTGTAAAATAGTTTAATTTTGGGCTCTTGACTTCTAGAACATTTTAGTACAACATAAAGATTTTGAGTTAAGGACATACGCAACGTAGTTTGAACTTTATTGTCTTTTCCCCTGGAGATGAAGAGTTCCAATAACTTAAAGAAACTGTGTGCTACATTTTTATGTCTATATATGCTGTTGTACACTTCTTCTAAAACAAGTTTGGATAAACAAAACATATAGAATATATGTTTAGTAATTTTTGTATATTTTTCTTTGAATTATACAAGAATTCTAATTAATTGATATCTTTTCAAAACCCCTGGTAATGCATGCTGATTTTTTGTCGATGAACATCTGATGGCACTATAATCTTAAAGTAAGAATATCTTGAAAAATTATCAGTAGGTAAGGTACGTTGCGAATGTCCTTAAGCTTAAGATGTTTCATGATCCCAGGGCCAGGATACCAAAATAGCTACCCGGTGAAGACACAATATACTTTGAAAATGGTCATTTTTACCCTATAATTCAAGAAGTCTCTCAAGAAATGCAGGCAATTAAAAAAAAAATCACCTAAAATTTTAAAAACACCATATTGAATATAGACAAGCACAAACAAACAAGTACATAAAATAAATTCAGCCATAAGTAGCTGCAGATACATCCTAAGTAATTTTTGCTATATGGACTGTAGATACATGAGCAGTCTGGGCAGCTTAGTTGTTAGAATACCTCATTAGTATACAAGTATTTGCAATGCAGAGGTCCTGGGTTTGATTCCCAGTCAAGCAAAATGTTTTTCCTCATGTATCTGTAAATTTTCAAAGCATGTTTATTCAGGCCAACTTTTTTTTATATTCTGTTTTACGGGAGCGCCGACCCTAATTTGGGCTAAAATGAAATAAAAATAAAAGTCCCCAATTCAAGTTTTATTTTTATTTCTCCCGCCGATAGTTTATTTATAGTCTCTGAAAAAATAAAAGAAATATAAATAACCTTTTTACAAGCCTTTCAAAATGCGATTTGTCATTGGCTGAGGTAAATAGATTCATCCAATCACAGTATTCGTTGCGTGAAGAGTCACTGCACAGCACAGCGCCAAAATGTCAGAATCGGAGGGTTTCACGTGTTTTTAAATAGTCAGTTTAAAAAAGTGACGTGTCAATGTTATATATTAGAAAAAGTATAAATTTTAATGAAAAATTGAATGAAATAGACGAATCAGTGATCTTGATCAAATGTCATGCGGAGGGCCACGTGGAAATCGAGGTTCTGTCAACCGCTTGTTTTGAAAGGTTCTGAATACGTATTATCTTTGACAATTGCTTCAATACATTGAAATACGTCTTGAAGATTTTTTAAACTTAATTTTAAGACAGGAATGTTTTCTTTTACAAGTAACGACAGAACACTAGAACTATGTAGAACTGGTAGAAAGTGGCGTGACTGAGGAAATTCGAGTCACAACTTTCACTCGTTTTATGACAAATATTGGAATTCAGAATCACCTACGAAGATATATCAGTATATATGCTTGATTGATACAAGACATTATCTCCTTTTTTATCGCTTTATGGAATTTTGCGTGCTATGTAACAAATTAATGTACATTGATTGTTCAGCGTATTCATATCAGCTGATGTAGTGTATATGTATAGCTCTTGTTTAGTAAAACAACTTTTTTTTACCACTAGGGAAAAGTATTGTTGTAAATGATACGCCCTTACAAATATTATTTTAATTCAAGACCTGGTTTCTTTTTTCATTCAACAGTTGTGGATTAGAACCATT